GCCTTCTGCATGTCAACCCTCTCTGGAAGCTGGGGTCTGATTTGATCTAGCCTTAGACAGTCACGCCTGGAATTCAGCTCTTGTTTTTCCTGCAGTGAATCAGTCTGTCTTAACCTCTGGGGCGTGTGAGGGCTCCCCATGATACTCATTTATTTCCGAGGGGGCAGGAGGGTGGCTTCTCCAGATAGGAGGCAAAGCTCAGATATTCCAGATCTCAGCCTGCCTGCCTTTCACCACCTGCGGGCCGTAGCCCTCTCCCCTGCCCAGCTCAGCGGGGCGTTCCCTGACTGCTCCTGCTCCTGGGGCTTGAGTCCTGACATTTTTTCCAGCCCCTGCTTCCCATGACCACCACCTCCCAAGAAGGAGCTTGGAGCTCTTGGGGAGGCTGACGGGGGCTGAGAGCTGCTGTCTCCTGGCTTGGCTCTCCTGGGCTGTGGCCATCTTCTGCCCAGTCTCAAAGATAAGGAAAGGAGCTGACTCGGGTTGGTGATGAGAGGCCAGCAGTTAGGGCTGGCTCCGGAACCCTTAGTCATTTAAACAGATGAGCCCCTTTCTGAGAACAGTGGATTGCAGGCATGCAATGAGTGATTAGAAGAAAACTGTCACCCAGGAGTAACATGGAGAGAGAGACTGGGGCAGAGGGTGAGGGGCCTCCTGGCCCAGCCTTCCATCGCTGGCTCCGTCTCACTGTCACACTCAGCTGGGAGGAGAATGTTGGCAACCACTCTGCTTCCTCATTGCTGCTTGTCCTGTCAAGGCCTCCTGCTGCTCTCCCCACCCCCACTACCACTATCAACCCCTGCCCCTCCAGGGTGGGTGACTCCAGTGTTCCCTGTCCAGGGCCAGATTCAATGCAGTGGCTCATTAAAGGGATGCAGCTAAAAGGACCTCCGGCCTTTTCTGTCCCATGGAGCATAAGGCCAGTCTCAGGCCTCTGTCCCTGATCTCCCCAGTCTCCCAGGACCCTTATCTCTTCCCTGGATGTTTTCTGCTCTCAGCTGGGCCTGCCAGGATGTCCTAGTGCTCCAAACCCAATATGTCTACACCGCTCCCCACTAGCTCCCCCTCAAATGCTGCTTCCACCAAAACAAATGGTTCCAGGAATGACTCCAGATCTACTGAAGGGGCTTCTTGAGCTGGGCCAGTGAAATGAGTGCCTGGAAACAGGGGGACCCACTCCTTTCTTGAAGACCCTGGGGACCACTACAGGAGAAGGCAGCTCCCAAGATGACCTCTCTGGCCCTCGATGTGAGGAAAAGGCTAAGAAACTGGCACTGCTGTTGGACACTCTATCCAACTTCAGAAAAGCCACCATGGGCCACTTTTGGGGAATGAGGAGGGGCAGGTAGGAAAACCCAAGTACAGTGGGTTCCCAGGAGGCTCTACAGGACCCAAGGCTTAGCAGCACCTGCAGGCTAGTGCTGGGGGCCTGGGGGGAGGGGCCCAGGGGAAGTCCCAGCCCCTGAGGAGCTGGCCTGGAACCCTTCTGAGGATCCCAATGATGCGCAACTGACTGCATCTGGCCCTGGAGCCGTGGACGGACGGGATGACCAGCCAGCCAGATGAGCAACCTTGGGCCAGCTGGGTGGTGACCACTTTCAAAATGTGCCTAGTGCCAGTTGTCTGGGGCAAATGCCCCCTGGCTGCCCCATCATGTCAGTGGAGGACATGGAGCAGAGACCTGGGCACCCTGGTGGTAAGCAGAGAGCCCAGGCCTTCCCGCCCGCCCTGAGCTTCCCCCAGCTGTGGGTGGGGGCCTGCCTGATAGCACTGTGTTGGCTGGAGGTGTTTATTAACCCCGAGCCTCAGGTCTAAGGCCGGGCCTCTGTCCCTGAGCCTGCACATGCATCCGCGCGTCCGTCTGTCTGGAGCCCTGTCCCTCCTGGGCCTGGCTGTTTTCCCATCTGGGTGTGACCACTGCTGGCTCCCTCTGGGTGTGTAGGTGTAACAAGTCCAAACCTTCTCGGAGAGTTGGGCAGGCTCTGGACCCGCCCTCTGGGCTGTGCCCTTTCCTCCCAAAACTGGTTGTACAGGAGCAGGCGTGAGTGTGGGTGAGCGTGG